AGCCTTGTCACCGAGGCGATGGTGGTGATTAGGGTTGGGAGTGACACAAGCGGCTGCCAGGCCCATTGGGCTTCCGATGAGAGGGACTGAAGGTGGGAGGTGGGCAAGGAGGGGGCACCGGGGGGCCTGGGAGAGCCGAGGGGGCATGAGGGCATGAAGTCCCCTGGGGCAGGGTGCCAGCTGTCCCCTCACCCCTGGGCGGCTGTCTCCAGGGGGCCGTGGGGTGGCCGTGGGCCCCATCCTGAGCGACAGCGCCTCCGACATCTTCTGCGGTAACGAGAACAGCCCCAATTTCCTCTTCCACAACCGGGGGGATGGGACGTACCGGGACGTGGCGGCTGCCGTGGGTGAGTAGAGGGAGCACCCAGGCGTCGGGGGCCTCAGGGCAGGGCTGGCTCTGCCCACCCCTGCCCGTGCAGGCTGGTTGAGGGCAGGGTGGAGAGACAGCCCTGGCGACCCAGAGCCCTGCTGACCACCAGGGTGGCTGAGGTGCACTAGGGCGTCCCGCAGCGCAGGGATACAGGCCTGCGTGGGGAGGACCCGTCTGGGGACTGTGGGGCGCATCCCGGGGAGACAGAGGCAGGGAGGGGGTCCTGTCTCCCCCCGTCCCCTTGCGGCTCCCCAGGGCTGGATGACCCCTACCAGCACGGACGCGGCGTGGCGCTGGCTGATTTTAACCGCGACGGACGGGTGGACATCGTCTATGGGAACTGGAACGGGCCACACCGCCTCTACCTGCAGAGTGGGGCCCCCGGGCGCGTCCGATTCCGGGTGAGGGCCAAGGCTGGGACCCCCTGGGACACCCCTACTGCTGGCTTTGCCACTGAGCCTCCTTGGCTGGGGGGGGCTGGCTTCACCCTGATTTGGTTTTGAGCTCCAAGTCCCAGTGAGAAGGGGACCTGAAGCACCAAAGCAGGACCTGGTGTCCTGCACCCTGTGCCCCTTGTCACCCCACGCCCATCCCTCTCGCAGGACATCGCCACCCCCAAGTTCTCCATGCCATCCCCCGTCCGCACCGTCATCGCAGCTGACTTTGACAATGACCAGGAGCTGGAGGTTTTCTTCAACAACATCGCTTACCGCGGCTCCTCTGCCAACCGCCTCTTCCGGTAGGAGTCCGGAGGGTACTGGGGGGCCGAACAGCACCCGTGGCACAGCCAGGCTCACGGGGCTCCTCTCCAGCAGTGCCACTGTTCGGGCTCAGCTAATAAAAGGCGCCGTGACTGAGCCCTTCCTGGCGTCATTACCAGCTGCTGCGATCGTGCCTGCAGCAGCCCCTGGGGTCCCCGGCACTGCTGATTAGTAGCCGCGTGGAAGCTTGTTCCTGGCTCCTGTTAATTGTAGGGGTCAATTCCTCATTACTGCTATGTGGCACCTCCTCGCCTGGTGCGTGGGGTGGTGGGAGCTGGTTGTCCCCCCAGTGCCATGGGTGGGTGGAGGGCAGTGGTGTGACAGGGAGCCCTTGGAGGCGGTCTCCATTCCCAGAGGGATGTGGCAGTGTTTGGAGATGACATTGCTGCTCCACAGTTCAGACCCACCAAGAGCCAGGCTCTCACGACATCCCTGTCACCCCTGCATGGAGCAGGGACGTGAGGTGCTAACAGGCAGGGGCCAGTCCTGTCCCCCATCCACCCTGCATAGCCACCGGGGCTGTCACCTCTCTGCCACGCTGCTGGGGGAGGGGACAGGCATTTCCCGGGAAGGTGCTGGGGACTGCAGGGGCTGGCACTAACACCCTGCCTGTGTTCGGCAGGCTCATCCGCAGGGAACACTCGGACCCCATCGTGGAAGAGCTGAATCCAGGGGATGCGCTGGAGCCTGAGGGACGGGGCACAGGTAGGTCCCTCCATCCCTGGCAGTGGGACCCTATGCCAGGGGTGTGCCACAGCACTGCCTGGCACCCTCCATGCCTGGGGATGCCACATGCCTGGCTGAGTCACCTTCCTGCTCCCCACCAGCATCCTGGGGCCCCCATCACCCAGGACATACCTGCCCCCTCCACCCATACCCAGCTAATGGTGCTGTCTCCGGTTGTTTCCAGGGCTTTGCTCTTTGGGGGGGATGTCCTTCCTGGGTCTCCACTGTCCAGAGGTTGCTGCATTTAGGAGGGGGCCAGGCAGCCTTCTGTGTCCCACAGCCCCCCAGGCACTGCCTGTCCCCTCCACTGCCTGGGAGCTGACCCACCTGATTGCAGGGTGCCACTCATACGGGGACCCTTACTCCTGCGCTGGGGTCACCCCATCTTCCATATTGCCCCTGCATTGCCAGGAGCGCTACTGCCAGCTGTGGGAGCCCACACTGGCAGCAGGGTGTAGTGCTGGGAAATGTGGGGCTGGGCCCCAGGTATGACACAGATTCTGTCCTTGCAGGGGGTGCAGTGACGGATTTTGATGGCGATGGGATGCTGGACCTCATCCTGTCCCATGGCGAGTCCATGGCACAGCCGATCTCCATCTTCAAGGGCACCCAAGTAAGTCAAGCAGGGGGTCCTTGCGTCATCCCTGTCCTTTCCACCTCTCCTTCCTCAGTCTCCCTGCTCCCTCCTCCCCTGCAGGGCACCAGCAACAACTGGCTGCGCGTCATCCCCCGTACCCGCTTTGGGGCCTTTGCACGGGGGGCCAAAGTGGTGCTGTTCACCCGGCGCAGCGGGGCCCACCTGCGCATCATCGACGGCGGATCAGGGTACCTCTGCGAGATGGAGCCCGTGGCACACTTTGGACTGGGTGAGCTGGGGGGGCAAGGGGCTGCCTCCACCCCCAGCCTTCCCCGGCACCCACCTGGGCAGGGGCCACCTCTGCTGCCCCAGCACCCTGCAGCATGGTAGTCAACCAAGCCCATCGCCCTGGGCATGGTGGGCTCCAGGGGAGGCTGGGGGCCGGGGGGCCCCCCACCGCCGCCCCGCCGCCAGA